GCTCTAAGTGCCTGCTATTTCACTATAATAGACAGCCTCGGAAAATTAACTTTCACTAATTCCCACATTGTTGCAAAAGAGTACATTAAATGGCTTACTTTTAAAGTCAAAAACTCAAACTCAAATATTTATTTTGAAATAACAAATCACTCAGTTATTTATCGGCCAATATCAGTCAACTTTGTTGGCCGAACGGATCTTATCGGGAAATCAATTTAGATAGGAATATGATATGATAATGGGCCATATGCAAAAATGAGCGTTAAATGAAACCATACCGCCAATCGTTAGCGGAGTTCTCATACGTTTGTGTGCCCTTTCAGATACCGGACAGCGGGCTCACGTATCTTTCGGAACGCATTCTGCTCTTCGTCCACGACTACAGCTCCCCGAATGTGCTGCACATCATCAACTCGGCAGCGGAGGTGGTGGACGAGACCCTCGTGGAAATCGTGCTGACAGCCAGTCGTAAGAAGCCAACCTCCAATCTCGGTTTTTCACAATTACTCAAATAATAATTGTTTGTTTGTTTATAAAGCTTTCATATTAAAACTTATAAATATTCCTTTCTTAAAAAAAAAAGCTTAAGAACTTTTAACTTCATTCAAAAAAAGTTGTTTTAAAGTTAATGAATCAAGAAATTCGTAAACCTAATATTTAAATTTTCAAATATTAGATTTATCAACCGAAATACCTTATTTTTTCTTTCTCTGCAGCTATCCTGTATCCAACCTCCGAGATGCCGACACTAAAACCCCATAGCTTGAATGTGCATTCCTACAAGGGACCGACCTTCTGTGATTTTTGCGGCGAGATGCTTTTTGGTCTGGTGCGTCAAGGACTCAAGTGTGATGGTATGTGCATGGAGAACTGTCACCCAAACTAATCCCTAACCAAGTCCAGAAACAAACTAACGCCCGCAAAACACTTCCCACCCACAGGATGCGGTCAGAACTATCACAAGCGATGCGTGGTGAAAATCCCCAACAACTGCAATCGCTCGAATGACGCCACTTCGAGGCGTTCCTTCACGCTCCAGGCGCCCCGCAGTCCGTCCGGCAGCTCCCAGCAGTCGCTCCTGTCCACGGAGGAATCAACTGGACGGAACGATTCGAGCAGCTCTCTGGTAAAGCGCATGTCGGACCTTATGAATGATATTATTAAGAATTGACAGTTGCCCCCTCCCATGGCGTGTATCTGTGTGAATGCGAGTGCTCGTGTGTGCGTGCCTGTTGCGATTTAGTGAGTAAGGGTGTTGGTTGACAGTTTCCGGTTATCCTGCGAGTATTTAAATTTGTAATTATCCTGGCATTCTCGTTTACTTTGTATTATTTTCATGCTTTCAAAAATAAACTTTTATTTTGTTCACATTCAATGCTTTGTCAATGCTCTTTTAAATACTCGTTGGGGGATCCAAACTGGGAATATAAATAGCACAGGATGTGTGATGAATAAGGTCCTTTTCAATTTGAACCTGTCAAAGTTTGCATAAAGTTTGCACCAACTTGTATATAAAGTTAAAAATAAAAGTTTGAAATGCACAATTAATGGCAATTTAATTACGGAAATAACATTGCCAATAATTTATTCATTATCTATCTGCATTCTCATATACATGCCTGAAAAAGTAACTATGAGAGCTTAATTGTGTTTTTAATAATAACAACCTTGATAATACTTTTCATTATTTAAAAATAGGACATTTTAAATGTTGTATATTACATTTTTGGATTATGAAAATGTCTGTATAAATATCCATTGTATTTTGTTAAATCTCAATTACATTACGGACTGAACAATCCGCATCAGCGGGATGTTGGCACTGGGCGAGGAGGAGGCCGGAAATATAATCCTCTGATAGTTGAAAAAAATTCCCCAAATTAGAAAATTAGTTTCACCCACTTACCCCCTCTCCTGGGTATACCCAAAGCAAATCCATCTCCAGTGACCCACCGTTTGCTAATTAATTTTTTCCCCTCTTGAATACCCAGAATGTACCCGGTCGCCATCAGCGCACATATTCGTCGGGAAGCCGGAACGGACTGACCGTCGTCCGGATACCGCACACGTTTATGGTGCACACCTACGGCATTCCCACCGTGTGCCAGGTGTGCAAGAAGCTGCTCAAGGGCCTCTTCAAGCAGGGTCTGCAGTGCCGGGACTGCCAGTACAACACCCACAAGAAGTGCATGGACAAGGTGCCGCAGGATTGCACGGGCGAGGCGCAATTAACTCAACTGCAGATACAGGCTGGTGGCAAGGAGCGGGATAACTTCTTCCGCGAGGAGTTCGATGACAGCGACTGCGACGAGGGAGCGAGCTCTGGAGCGGATTACGGGAAATACAAAACAGCCATGGCGGGTGGAGTAAACCTGGTGGCTGGACGGCCTAGGGAGGCACCCAAAGCCCTCACCAATGCCCACAATTCACCACCAGAGCTGGTTAATGGCGGTCTGACCGATGACTCCAGTACGAGTGGAGACACCAGCAAATCGAGTGACGGTCAGTCCGAACAATCACAGTCGTCGGCCTCCTCCTCGCCCAGTGCCAACATCCCGCTGATGCGGATTGTTCAGTCCGTGAAGCACACCAAGAAACGCGGTGGCCAGGCCCTGAAAGAGGGCTGGCTGGTGCACTACACATCCCTAGACAAGGCAGTGAAGCGATACTTTTGGCGGCTGGACTCCAAAACTATTACTTTGTTTGTCTCGGAGCAGGGAAGCAAATACCACAAGGAGCTGCCGCTGGCGGAGCTCCTTTCGATCGAGAGCCATCGCGGGGATCCCGCGCCGGAGAGCAACTACTGCTTCGAACTACGTTTGCCAAACCTCAGCTATTTCGTGGGCCAGGATCCGCTGGTAGGGGCCAAGGAGGAACAAGCTGTCCGCTTGCCACCGCCGGACAGTGGCATAGGTAGTGACATTGCTAAGAGCTGGGAGACCAGCATCCGTCAAGCTTTCATGCATGTGACCAACACACGTAAGTAACATTTCTGACATTTTAGTTAGACAATGGTAGATATCATTGACACAAGTCTTACTTTCGACAACTCTATTTTTAAGAAATTCAAATGAGCTCAAATCGCTTTCTTTCCGCAGAGTGCTGCGAGTCGGAGGAACAGGTGCAGGACATGGGCCAGCTGTACCAAATCTTCCCAGACGAGGTCCTGGGCTCCGGGCAGTTCGGTGTCGTATACGGCGGTGTGCATAAGAAGACGCAGCGCGAGGTGGCCATTAAGGTGATCGACAAGCTACGATTTCCCACCAAGCAGGAGGCGCAGCTAAAGAACGAGGTGGCCATTCTTCAAAATATCTCGCACTGCGGTGTCGTGAATTTGGAAAGGATGTTTGAGACTCCGGAGCGTATATTTGTGGTCATGGAGAAGCTTAAGGGCGACATGTTGGAGATGATACTGTCGCATTCACGGGGAAGGCTCAGCGAGCGTGTGACCAAGTTCCTGATAACCCAGATTCTTATCGCCCTTAAATACCTTCACTCGCAGAACATAGTCCACTGCGATCTTAAGCCGGAGAACGTCCTGCTCTCCTCGGATGCGGAGTTTCCACAAGTGAAGCTTTGCGATTTCGGCTACGCCCGCATTATCGGTGAGAAATCCTTCCGGCGTTCGGTTGTCGGCACTCCGGCATATCTTGCTCCGGAGGTGCTTAGGAATAAGGGATACAACCGCTCCCTGGATATGTGGAGTGTGGGTGTGATCATCTATGTCAGCCTCAGTGGCACTTTTCCCTTTAACGAGGAGGAGGACATAAACGACCAGATCCAAAACGCGGCCTTTATGTACCCACCCAATCCCTGGAAGGAGATTTCCTCTAATGGTGAGTCTATAGCTCTGAGGAGACTAGAAATCATTTTAATACAATTTTTATATTTCTTCTAGCCATCGACTTGATCAATAACCTGCTACAAGTGAAGCAACGTAAGCGGTACACGGTGGACAAGAGCCTCCAGCACTACTGGCTGCAGGACAAGCAGACCTATCGGGATCTCCGCACCCTGGAAACTCAGGTGGGTGGCGGAAGGTATCTGACCCACGAGTCAGACGATATCCGCTGGGACTGTGCAGGCGACATGTGACCTGGCTGCGAATCAGAGTCCGTTTTCAAAGAGATTCTCGCTGGCGCGGAGCCGGAGATGACCTGTATCACCGACGTCACCAACACGACCTCCACCAGTAGTGACACAAACAACACCACCGACAACTATCGTCCATCCCCGGCGGATTGCGCCGGATGTCACCGGCTGTCCAATTGCGGAGATTCTCCAAAAACGGAGCCCATGAGCGACAGGGCCCTGAAATGGATGCGGTTCCATCTTTGCCGGCACATCAAATAGCAGTACAACCATATGACTAGTTCTAAGTTTATTCTATTCTCTCTTATCTGCTTTTCGAACACATTTTAAAAACTGCTAACACACAAATTTTCAAAACTAAAACTCTTTGTGCTAAATTTTTCTCTAGAATCAAAATTAGTCGATAGCTTTAATCGTTAACCACCTAAAGGAAACTCTTATGAATAACTCTACAAAAACTATACCACAAACTCAGATGTCTTAAATATATATATATGTATATTCTATATATGTACGTGAAGCTCAGATCCAGTTTAGAACCAATTGCCATACGACAGACTAAAACACCAACACAACAAATGGCAGAGAAACAACACAAAGCTAAATAAACAATGCTTGATAATTAAGTTTTAAAGGTGTTTATATTACAGTACATCAGCAATAATGGTAATAGGTAAGGCAAATATTATCACTTTATACCACAGGAAATACATACAAATTTCTGTGGGTAAATTTAAGGTAAAATATTTTTAAAAAATTTAGGTGTCTAAGAAAATATTCTCGCTGTTGAATTTCTTTAGGGCCACAGATGTACGCATTTTGTCACTCGGCTGGTAGTCTTCACTTTATCTGCACCACTGCATCAAAAATCGTTGGCCTGCAACGGCTGGCACCTTTCATGGAAGACTTCTTTAGTACTTTCCAGTAGTTTTTCCCCAACAACCCAGAAGAAAAGATGTATAGTTTGCTGGCTCCGCTACTCCTGCTCACAATACTTTTCAGGACCAGCCATCAAAAGGATGACTTTAGTACCCCAAGTCCCGCCTGGTTGGAATATCAAAGGGAGAGATTTGGTGGAATAGCATCCAATGGAGTTCATCCCTCCGTAAGCTCTACAAATACACCTATAATGAATGTGGCTACGCCAAAAGTAGAGACCACATCCAGAAGGCATTCCTCCAATACCCCGGAGACCGAAAGTCAAGAAACTGGGGACAAGGAATCTACGGAAGAGCCGCCGGAAGAAGGGGGAATTGAGCTGCCCAGTATGGATGGTTTTCTAAAGTTTCTTAAAACCTTACAAAACACCTGGGCCAAAAAATCGGCCCTTACCTTCGAGAAAAAGTTCAAGCTTTTGCAGAATTTGCGAGACAATCTAATGAAACTTATTGGTGTGTATAAACAAACACTTAGTAGTGTGTATTTAAATATAAAAAAATCCTTGCAGTGAATTCTTTTTTTTATAGAAAAAATCGTTTTTATATACATATATTTGTTTACTCCAATTTTTAAATTACAGAACAACAATTCGCGGTTCTGTGGCAGCCACCAGAGCGGAAAAGGCGACGACGACGTGGTTTGCTCGATAGTTCGGAAATAGATTTTCCCCCCGAGGCGGCAATCATGACAATCAACTTTCTTACATTCGCAGTTTTCCTCATAAAACTTGTAATGGTACGTTAATGATTAAAACGTTAATTATTAATTTAAAATAATAACGTCTTATGTTCTCACTTTGCAGCAGGTAATAAAGACCGTTAAAAGCAAACATTACAACTTTTCTGGATTTACAATAGTTCAGGATACTCGCAGACGTCCGTAAATTTACAACTTAACTTCAAAATGTTCTTTAAGTTTAAAAAAATTAAAAAAACTTTGATTAAATAATTCAGTATTAATTACATTCAATAAAAAAATGTATATCCAAAACTCAAAATAATTATTTACAAATAGTTTATTTTTTAATTTAATCGAATCATAAATAATTCATAGTATTTAAATAAAAATAATACAATAAGATTCTAAAAAAAAAAAAACACAAAATACCAACATAAACATAATATTATTTGAACTTTAAAAATTAACGGTCATTAAAAGTGTGGCAACGCTGTTGGTAAAAGGTGTCCAGCAGCGAACAGCTGATTGTCTGTGTTTTCTACACGTGCAGCTCGTGCATTTATTAAATGCCAAGAAATGGAGGATAAAACCCAAATTCAGACCGTGTGCAATCACAAAAGAGATGAGCATCTGCCTACTCTCGGTAAGCAATTAAATACTTACGATTTTCACTTAAGTAACCTTTTGAATATTCTCAGTAAAATTCCAGAATGGTTCGCTCGGGAGCACTGGAGATTTTTGTGTTATTGAAAACCAAAATGAGAAGAAACACCAGGCCATGGTGGTGGCAGGGGACCAGATTTACACGGGCGACTTAAAGGACAGCCAGGAGTATGACACTTACATATGTGTTAGGAACAAATCGACCAACAAGGTGCAAATCGTTCCCGTACAACAGGCACTGCTCTCCAATCACATTTACCAGGAGCTGGATCGGCAGAAGCGGAAGACTCCAATGCTCAGCAGGGAACATGCTAACAAGAAGCTACTGAAGGAATTTGGAGGACGCAAAGCTTCACGCTATGTCGATAATCACGAAAAGATGCTGGTCAACGTCGAGGTAGTGCGCCAGGATTTGGATGAAACTGTAAAGTCATCCACTCATAACGAAAACGAAGATGCCGATGAGACAATGACAGATTTGAGCACCAGCAATGAGGAATACCTCGCGAAGATTGTGCCTAAGTTTGATAAAGAAGCCACGAATCTGGATCACGTATATGACGTTGAGGATGTAGTCCCAAGTTCACTACTCGAAAGACTGGATGAGGAGGCCAAGGTGGTGTTTTCCACACCACTTCAAACCGTACCGTAAGTACATATGAATATCAATTTCTATTTATTTTGCAGTTGTTCATTCTAAAAATTCTTGGTACAATCGGTTTGAACAGTTGAAAAAACATTCATGGTTTTAGTTTAAGAATATGTAATGTGATCCTATTATAATATTACCATTATTTACAGAATTAAATCGGAATACCTCAAGGAGTGCTTAGGTCGCATCCAGAATAAGTCGGTCACCTCTAAGGAAGATTTTCTGCATATTAAGCTTATCATTTATATGGATGCTTTGCAGACATTGATTTCGCTCCGTTCCCGGCAAATGCAGAAGGTGGAACTTTCGAAGATCACAGAAAAGATTGAGAACGATATCCGGCAACGGTTTGCGGATCCAAACGTTGCCAAACGAGGCACTCGGACAAACTTTAGTACTGAGAAAGCACTTACACACTTTATTGTTATGGCATTGCTAATCAGCGAAAAGCACGAGGTGGACCTCAATGTGCTGTCTCGTGCTTTAGCCACTAGCAAGGAGCGAATCAAGCAGTACGCGCACATCGCAAACGCCCTGCCAAAGTCCCGCTCAGACATCCTGGCCTTGCGCCTGCCTAGCAAAGTACCAACACTGAAAACAGCACGACGCTTTCAACGAAAGAAGTAAAACCACCTAAGCGCCAAGGACACCGCGCCCGCCATCGATTAAACAAACTCGAAGGCGAGTCAATAATGTTTTTTTTAGCTCTATGGCTAAAGCTACTTTCTAATAAAACTAAATTTACAAAAACAAAACAAGATTTCTAATTAAAAGTGTTAAGCAGGACTTACGATAATTCGTTGTAACAATATTTGAAAACAATTATGCTTTTTTTAAAAACATTGGGACTCCCTTAAATAGTCTTCGTTTAAGTTTTTATATTATTTTTATTAGATTTAAATTTGAAATAAAGAAGTAACATTAATTTCTCACACAACCAACGACTTGTGGGTGTAACTTTTTTTGTTTATCATTAATTTCGTCCTTGTTCAGATGGTGTTTCAGGTTTACTTATACACGAAAGTTCTGGTGTCTCCATGTCAGACGCTCCAATCTTGTTAATCCCTCCCCCTTATAGTTAGTATTGATGCAGACAAGTTTCCTTCTAAACAGCCAGTCCGAATACCGAGACAATGCAGTACATGGTCTTGTTTTCCCAGCGCACCGTGCAGGATCCATCGGTGTCATTGTTCCAGTAGCAGGAGCTGGCGGTGTGTAGGCCGGCACCGTTCTTTTGCATGATCATGGCGGTAACGATGTACTTGTATGGCTTCTGCTCCTTGGTTAGCACGGTGAGACAGTTCTCCACCACCTGGCCGGTCCAGTTGTTTACCTTGTCGTGCTGGTAGGCATTTCCCCCAATGGTGGTTTCGATGGCCTCCTTAATCGTCTTGCTGACATCGTCGACAATAAACTGGCTTTCTTCGCGTGAGTCATCCATTTTGCAATTTTCTTGTCGGCGTCTATGGGCAGCTGGTCAAAATGTATAGCTTCGGTTGGCGTTCCTTGGTTTTTTCAGTTTACTACCCTTCTTGAAATGCGCGCGTTTTACTGTCGTTGGTGTGTTCCAACGCTTGTTGAACTGATATAACTGAAGTTTTAAAGGTCTAATATGATGGAAGTAAAAAGCAAAGAACCTCGATTTGGATACACTCGATATTTTTAAAGCGTGAGCTATCGATGGTTGGGATTATTTCGCGCGGCAGTGTTGGATGATAGACCTATTCAAATTGAACGTGTATGAAATTTAAAACTCTCTTAATTACCTAAATCAGAGTCCGATTTTACAATTTATTTTGCGGATAAATAAATTGTATCAATTGTGTATTTTCTTAATACGTTAAAGTCCTTTTAGAAAAATCAAAAGGATTAAACATGATTGTTCCTATGGAATGTTTTCACTTTTAATTCAACTATAAATAATTTATTTAGTTGTTAAAGTTCAAAATATTAATTTTTGAAACGAACAGTGTAGGTAACTAGCCAACTATCGATCGCACTGCAATATCGAATTATCCCGATAACCAGGGAAAAAAGGAAAGGAAATTTTTGTTTATTTTATGAGCCGAAGAACAAATTTTACCTGGAAATGAGCTCATCCGCAACAGGAACAGCTTCTGCATTCTCCAGTTCCGACACTGCCGCGTTGGAACGAGAAACGGAGACGGAAAATCAAGTGGTCAACTATGAACAAATCTGGAACGAAAATCACCGGAAAGTGAGCAGCGATTGGATCCGTCAGAATGGTTATAAACGAGTGGGTATATTTGTCCTTCTTTGGGCTTGACTTAAGATATAATCTCCAGGTGTGCCTGCAATTCCCGGATGACTATCTGCCACACAGTAATGGAATCAGTGTGGATCTGAAGCAGCTACTGGCTCCAGAGGACGTAAAGGTCTTCATCCTAGCAGATACCACATACGGCAGCTGCTGTGTGGACGAGATTGCAGCTGCCCATGTGGAAGCCGACAGTGTGATTCACTTTGGCAATGCCTGCCGCAGCCGAGTTTTCCGTTTACCGGTTCTTTATCTTTATCCGGAGCTGCCCTTAAACGTCGCTAATCTTCTTGAACAATTACAAACTTTACGTCCTGCGTGTGGAGAGAAGAAGGTGTGCCTCTATCTGGACATTGGATACCATTACATAAAGAGCGACGATCTCTACATTAAACTAAAGGAAGCTCTTCAACCCAAAGAGCTATTGTTGAACGTTTTTCCTGCAACGGAAGAATCTTCAACCACGTCTATAGACACTTCCTCTGAGTTCGAGACTATTAGCATTTTTGTCGGAGCCGATAATCAGCGCTTTGCCAATCTCTCGCTGACATCTACAGCTCCACAACAGTGGTACATTTTCGAAGGTTCGACTGGTTCTCTCAGCACCAAAAATCCTCTCACGGCCCAATATATTCGCCGGCGATATTTTTACATCGAGAAGTGCAAGGATGCACAGACTTTGGGCTTGATTGTGGCCACTCTTACATCCGAAGGCTACCTTGATGTGGTAGCCCGTCTGCAAACCATGGCTAAGAGTAGAGGCATAAAAACACAACTCATCTCGGTGGGAAGAATCAATCCGGCAAAGCTGGCCAACTTTCTCGAAATTGATTGCTTCGTTCTGATAGGTTGCCCCTTTAACAACATGTATGATTCGAAGGAGTACTATAAACCTATCGTATCCGTTTTTGAAGCCGAGATGGCATTGAATCCAGCTTGGCATATGAAGTATCCGGAAGCTTATGTCACGGATTTCAAGCAGCTTTTGCCAGAAGGTCGCAGTTTCCTGGCCTTTGACAAGGAAGCTATCCCCGAGCAAGATGTTAGCTTGGTAAGTGGCAAGGTTCGAGGAGCGGTGAACGAATCCCTTGAAACGGCAGGAGACCCAGCATCCTTGGCGTTGGCCACCCAAGCCAAAATGTCGTTGATGACTACGGACACGGGGCTGACCTTCGAAGACCGCACCTGGCAGGGCTTAGACCCGGCTCTCGGCCAAACCGAGCCTGCCCAGCTACAGCAGGGCCTCAGCGGCATTCCCATTAAGTACACACACCAATAAACGGGCACATTTTTATAACTTTTGGTATTATCGATTTACTGATCCTCAGGGGGCAAAATTTTCTCTTCAATTAAGCTACATGTCAAACAACAGGGAAGATGGAACCCTTCATTTAAACCCTCAACCAGTACATGGAGGAACGGATTCTGTTGTAGTCGGGCAGGTTCTCAACGGGGCCCACAGCGGCAACAGCAGGGCACCGATCGTAGATGTACTTCATGGCCACATCGCGAACGTTTCCAACGTTCACAGCATCGATGCGCTGCTCCAGCTCGTGCAGAGGGATACGGCGGTTGTAGCACAGAATTTGACGACCAATGTCCTCACAGATGGGTGTGGTTCCATCCAACTGCAGCAACATGTTAGTCTTCAGCAGGTTCTTTGCACGCTCGACCTCAGCCTCAGTGACCATGGTGCACAGGCGCATCCATTCGGTCTGGATGTTGAAGATCATGTCCTAAAAAATAATCGTTGAGTTAAGAAACGATTCAAATATTCACAAAAGATAACTTCTTAGTGTATGGATTACATAACACAAAGTCTTTCCATTCCTTTAAGTACCAACCTCGCACTGCAGAGGGTCGCACACGAAGTAAATGCCCCAGAGACCGGTGTCTTTGTAGCAGGTGTTGAACGACTGGAAACTGTGGCAAAGATCTAAAAAAATATGCAAATAGAATAAAGCCAATAAATGCTGATTTAAGAGAGTAACTCACTGTCCTCAGCGCTGGCACGAGCCAGGTTGGAGGCGTTGTTAGCGCCACCGCCCTGGGAGCGATCCCAAGCACCAACAAGAGTGTTGGCCACCATCAGGGGGATGTTGTCCTGGTCGGTCCAGCCGCATCCTTCGACGGCCACAGCTACGTGAGCAAGGGGCAGGGAATCATCACGAACGCGAACCTCAGAGCCGGTGAAGCGGCAGGGAGTGACCTCTGGAGGCAGCACACTGGCCTCCAAGCCACCCAAGCTCGAGCAGGCGAGCTTCACCAGGTCGTCGTGCTTAACGCCGCCGGCGGCAGCCAAGACGATGCGCGAAGCCTTGTAGTGGGTCTGGATGTAGTCGGTCAAATCGGATTTTCCAATGGACCTGAAAAATAGCATAAGTTTTAGTACAAGAAAGAAAAAGATTAGATAATCCCCGGTACGTACTGAATGTTCTTGGTGGGGCCAAGGATGGTTTGGCCGAGGGGAGTGCCCTGGTAGGCAGTGGCGTGCAGGTGATCGAAGACCACCTCCTGCAAGTTGCTCTCAACTTCCTGCATCTCCCGCAGGATCACTGAGCGCTCGCGGGCGATCTCGGCCTCACCCAACTTCGAGTTCTGGATGATATCGGCCAAAATCTCCACAGCCTTGGGCACATCCTTAGACAGACACTTGGCGTAGAAGACAGTCTGCTCCCGGGAGGTGTAGGCGTTCAGGTGAGCACCCAGGTTCTCAACCTCCAGCTCCAAATCGGTCTGGGAGCGCTTAGCAGTGCCCTGGAATAGAATGGCCAATTAACTTACATCCTTTTAAGTTTTTTTGAACTATTCTCATACCTTGAAGGCCATGTGCTCCAGGAAGTGGGCCACTCCGTTGTTCTTCTCGTTTTCGGAACGGGAGCCAGCATCGATCCAGAGACCTACGGTAGCGGTGGAGGCACCAGAGTCCTCGCTGGCCACGCGAAGTCCGTTGTCCAGCTTGGTCACCTGGGTGGCGGGTATGTTGAGCAGGGTCTTCTGCAAGCTGACCGCCGACTTGTGGCGCTAAGGGTAAATAAAAATAAAATGTAGTTAAGTAAAGCACCAACATAACCTCAAAGTTCATGTAGATGGTTTTGCAGATCGATTCGGATTGCATTTTATTCAATTTAGTAACCATTTGACCACAGAACCGCAGGAAGTGTTTTTAAATGGTGTTTTAAATCATATGCTAACCGCAGACACAAGGTTTATATCCGAATTACAATTACGTAATTTAAATCCTGTTGAGCGTAATCACTTCTTGCGATTAAACTCACCTTGATCATTTCCACGCCCCGCATGAAGGTGCGCATATTCTGCGTCACACCAAGAACACGCAACGCCATCGTTTAGTTAAATCGTTCAATAGCTTATTAACTAAAAAATTATTATGACTTTTCGTCTGTGGCCCGCGGCGCTGATGAAAAATTCACACACACACGAACGAATACAGATGACCGCGACGTTAAGTTGGGCGCTGCTAAACAGCTGTGTTCTGGACGCAGGAAAAGTATAGTGTGTACACACTGTTTTCCAAAGCAACAAAAATCTGGCTTCTGTCCGACTTTTTTTTCGAAATAAACATAAAATTTAGATAGCCAAAGATAAATTAAAAGGTGGAGCTTGTTGCCCGGCCTACTGCGTAAACAATGGCGGGAAATTTTTGGCAGAGTTCGCACTCGCAACAGTGGATTTTGGACAAACAGGATTTGCTGCGAGAGCGCCAACACGATTTGTTGGCGTTGAACGAAGATGAGTACCAAAAGGTCTTTATATTCTTTGCGAATGTGATTCAGGTGCTGGGAGAGCAGTTGAAGCTGAGGCAACAGGTCATAGCCACGGCCACCGTGTACTTTAAAAGGTTCTACGCGAGGAACTCCCTGAAAAATATCGACCCCCTGCTCCTGGCGCCGACTTGCATTCTGCTGGCCTCGAAGGTGGAGGAGTTTGGTGTCATCTCCAATTCTAGGCTGATTTCCATCTGCCAGTCCGCAATAAAGACTAAATTTAGCTATGCCTACGCTCAGGAGTTTCCCTACCGCACGAACCACATTCTCGAGTGCGAGTTCTACCTGCTGGAAAACCTGGACTGCTGTTTGATTGTCTACCAGCCATATCGGCCGTTACTGCAGCTGGTGCAGGACATGGGCCAGGAGGACCAACTGCTCACCCTAAGCTGGCGCATCGTCAACGACTCTCTTCGCACCGATGTCTGTCTTCTGTATCCTCCATATCAGATCGCCATTGCCTGCCTACAGATAGCTTGCGTTATCCTACAGAAGGACGCCACCAAACAATGGTTTGCCGAGCTCAACGTCGACCTGGATAAAGTACAGGAGATTGTGAGGGCAATTGTGAACCTATACGAGCTATGGAAGGACTGGAAGGAGAAGGATGAGATACAAATGTTGTTGGCCAAAATACCCAAACCTAAACCACCGCCGCAGCGCTAATCTTATATTCGTTTATACTCATAGTTTGTATTGTCCTATTTAGTTTGTGTCCATGTCCTATTTATGTCGATTGTAAATTCAAGATTCATCAATTTGAAGAACATCATTGTTCTCATTGTTGATATTTTATTAAAAAATTGGAATTAATGAAAAGAATTATACTTTTTTGATCTTATACTTATTTAAAATCTTGCAACCTTATATGTTATTGGGCTAGTCAACATGCATTAGTAGTTTATGATACAAACATTCCTTACAAATACTTGGCCTGTCCTCTTGAAAATTTTGTATTGAGAATTTTGGCCTTGTCCACGATCTGCTTTGTTTGATTCTTGTCGATTTTGTTGAGCTTCAAGTCCACATCTCTGCTGAATGGTCTTCGTTCAGGTTTCGATCCGGATGCAGCAAGCTCCTTTTCCTTTTCGAGAAAATAATTAAATTTAATGAGATTTTTTTTTATTACTGACCATAATTCATTTAAAGATATTTTTACCCTTTCTTTTTGTTCCTTCCTCAGTTTTTTCTGATGCAGTTCCACCAGAGACTCCTCTCGTTTGTGTTTCTTCTTATGTTTTTTGGCCATACTCTCCTGCTCTTCGTCCCTCATCTGTTCGTACTTGGCTTGGGCCATTTGCTCCAAGTCCTTTGAACTGCACGCTTTGGGTCCGGCCGCAGCGGCTGCGGCTTCGCTTTGGGGAGTCTTGGTCCAGGATGAGCGGTCACTGAAGTCTGGACGTTCCTTTCCTTGGTAGAAGGTGCGCTTCATGTTGCTGAGAGCTGCCAGACCACCTTTCAACCCGACATCTGGGAGCTCCAGCATCCACTCCTCCCGAACGTCTTGGTCTTTTGTGCCTCCAAGACCTCCTCCCTCCAGAGCAGCTAATTTCAGAGCTAATGCTCGCTCCTCCAGCTCTACTTGGCTGGCGTTGGGCAGGGGTCCGAAGGTGCCAGCCAGATCATCATCATCATCCTCATTCTCATCGCTATTACTGTTTTTTTCCTCCTGCTCTGAGGGTTGCTCGGCCTGCAGGAATTGGCTGGGAAGGATGGGTCCTATCATGGCCTTGGGTGCCACTTCAGGTTTGGGCTCAGGTTGAGCTTGTTTTTGCAGATGTGGTGGAAGTGCAGGACCAAAGGTATCTTCAGTGCTTTCCGAGGGCTCTGGTTGAGGAAAATTAATAGATGGTTGAATAACTGGTGGCTCTTCTTCGCGTCTGCTGCGTTTTTTCTCCTTGTGGCGTCGCTTCTCCTTCCTGTGTTTCTTGGACTTCTTTTTCTTGGATTTGTCCACGTCCTTGCTGTGTTTCTTGTGTTTCCTTTTTCGATGTCTTTCATTACTGGAGGAGCTGCTGTCACTGTCACTGTCATCGCTCGACATGATCTGTAAATGGAAATTTTAAATTAATTAAAAAAGTAAATTAATTAGACACTAATTTCTGAACTAAGCCCAAGTCGATGGAACACTTACGCCTTTCTAATCCAAAGCAGCATTCCCAGAAAGGTCTCCCCCTAGAAAAACTCGGTTTTCGCCTTGGGCATGCGTTCATATATTGCAGCTAATAACTTTAGAGCTTACAAATAAATAACAAAATACAGCTACAGGGCAACTTAGTCAATAATTGGCAGGTTTAATTAATTTGCTTAAAACGGAGGACCTTAAACGGCGAAAGTCTTCTGAGCTTTACGGTAACTGTATACGAGCGACTTAATTACTCCGGCACTGGCAATGTTTTTAATGGATTGTGTTACGCTGCTACGCCAAACGATGTCGTTGACAGAAGCCTGAAGAACCTTTGGTAGTTGTGGGGCCACGGATAAGTGATCCACCACAGCAGGGTAGTCGCCCCGGCACGCTGCGTTCTTTTGAAGACGGGACTTTAGCTGTCCAGGAATTTTCCTCAAGTGATAGGCCGTTGCCGTTTGGGACTTGTCTTGCTCGAATAGAATGGCTGGTTTTCTGCTGCCCGGCTCCTGGCCCTTCATATTAACAGCAACGAATTGGGAAAGCTCCCCCAAAGCTGGCTGGTACAGGGCGAAGAAGTCGTTGATTTGGGGACTTACAATGTTGTGCACTTTTTGTTTGTTTTCCCCAAATATCATTCGAAAGTCTCCCTTGTAACTCAACGCTGCGATGGTGTGGAAGAGCTCGTAGCCGGTAAATTTCTCTGGCAATAACAGTAACGACACTTCCAGCGCAGAAACAAGATTCCTGTCAAGAGCAGCTTTCAGAGGAGGATTATCTGATGGGTTCACCAGGTCCGTGACAGGCTTGTGCAGCCTTCCCGCCAAGTATAGGTGCCTCCAGTCCGTTAGATCTTCGATAAGCTGCTCTTGCGAGACTACGCCGTATTTAATAGTAACTCCTACATCCGGCAATGGAACCAAAGTGTTGCAATAGACGCCAGCTCCTAAACGCTCCTGGTATTGGGCGATGAACTTCGGGCCCAGGTGTTTCAGGGCCGAATAATGTCCTGGATGCCGGTGAAGATTCTCCGCATGAAATCCCAGAGCATCGCGAACGCAAAAGACGAGATCTATAACGCTCCCGGATGAGGGAGTTCCAACCTTTTGGTAACCCTCCTGTTGTTTTACACCGGAGCCGTAGGCAAACATATGACTGACGCTGCCCAACGGAAACCGTTTTACCGCTCGCCTGTACACGTCCAGCATCTTTTCAAAGGATATTGTTCTAAATACAAGTTTGTTTATATTCAATAATTACTTTTTAAGCTGGAATCTGTTTCTTCAAGCAGGAATCTTCTTCTTGTTTTTCGTTAACAGCCGGTGCAGGAAAGGTGTGGACACACTGAGGATCAGCTGATTACTAGTGTTCGTAAACGTGCACTACTTTTCCTGATGTTTTTATTTGGTTCGCAAAAATAACTTAAATTCCAACCAAAAGGTAGTTTTTAGTTTAACGTAAAAGATTTAGAACTAACCCTTTATATTTGTAGACGTCTCTGGGGTAAACAATAACCAATTTTGAAATCACAAAATATGAAACAAAAAACTCCAGAGTAAGGGCCAGATAACTAGGATATGAGCTCCAACACCTGTGATACCTGTGGAAAACAGTTTTCCAAGCCCACTTTTTTGAGACGTCACCAGGTGGTCCACACCAAGGAAAAGCAGTTTCCTTGTGACTATTGTCTTCGTTCCTTTTCTCAGCTAAGTTCTCTACAACGACACAAACGCTCAAACCATTCTCAAAATGAGATCCTCAAATCCTCTTCAGTGCTTGAGGATGCTGACCAAGTGGCCCATCAAGCCCTTACTGCACTGCGAAGCCTGCAAAGCGGAATGGAGGCACCAAGTAGTAGCCTGTCTGCAGAGCTTCGTGAAATATTTCCTCCTATGCTTGAGGCATCCTTGATGAACCAACCACTCCAGCGTCCTGTCAAAAACCTTTATGTCTGTGAATTATGCGGAAAGGAGTTCTGCAAAGTCTATGATGTACTAAGACACAGACGTTCACATACTAAGGAAAAACAATATCCGTGCCTTGAATGTCTTAAATTATTTTCCGAAAAATCCAATTTAAACGAGCACAAAAAGAGAATGCACGGAAAAGTCAAAAAACATAAGAAGCTAAGAAACTTGAGCTTCCATAAGATTGTTTTGAATAGGTTATATAAATGCATATATTGTGGGAACATTTATATGAACAAATTTAACTGTCGTCGACATATGCTAGTACATTTTTCGCAGAGGTGGTCTAAAAATGAAAGCAAAACAATCGAAATTAAAGATAAAAACTGTAAAAGTTGCGGAAAATCTTTTAAAAAGGCGAATGATCTTAAAAGACATATGTTAACTCACAGCAGGATTAGGTCACACACCTGCAATGTGAGCCAGAAATCCTTCAGCCTCAAAACTACTCTTTCGAGACACATGCTGGTCCACAAAATGCATAGACTTGTAATAAACTGCCAAGTTTGTGGAAAATCTTACGGCTCCAACACAGCTCTACGGCTACATCTGCGTATCCACACTGGCGAACGTCCCTTTATCTGCGAGATTTGTCAGCAGACTTTTCGAACTTCGGGCCATAGGTTGGAACACATGAGAGCCGAAAGGCATTGCTCGAAACCGAGCCCAACTACTCTGTGCTAGTGGCTTCCGTAAAAAAATTAAGAATCTATGGGAATGGACCCCACATCCTCTATTTTTCTTTACAAAACCAATAGGTCTCTGTCCTCAAACAAGAATCCTGTCCGAAATTTAAATATAGATTTGATAAATATCATTGAAATTTGTATTTGTACTTGGCGCGCTCCACGACAGGTCGTGTTGGAAAGTAGAAAAACATTTTGCCGCCGACAGTGTTGACAAACTCAAAATTTTGTAGTTGTTATTCCATTCTCAAAAAGAAGAAGAAAAACACGCACATTTTCTACAATCAGTTCATCGAAAAAAAATATTTACGGAAAAAAACACACATCAAACAAATATTTTACAGACATGCCGCATCCTAACAAAAGAATGCACGATCAAGAGGAGCATAAAAAGCATGGCAAGGAGGACAACAACCAGACCAAAGATGCACAGGCGCCGGAGGAATCTTCATCCAATGAAGTCGGAGACATTGGGGAATTTACAACTGTGGGTGGTTGGGTTGATTTTCTGGTATTTTGGGTGTTAACTTTTGCTTGTGTTTTTAGAAAGCTTTCAAGAATGTGGTGGGAGCCACCAAAGCAGTGAATGCCTTTCCACAGGGCACCGCTCGTGCGTTGTACATGACCTATCCAGGCTACGCACGTGTTATGGACGACCTCAGCCAGCGGGTTGTGGGCTTAATTGGAAACGTGCTACAAGCCGAAGGAGTCAAGGGAGACATTAAAAAGTAGGTATCAACACTCGAGTACTCTTGGAATCGGCTGAAACAATTTTCTTCTTATTCCACAGACGGCAGCTGGACGAGCAGTTTGAAATGGTGCAGGAGTGCAATGACATACTGTTTGAACGTGTTACAACGAACCTGGATCTAAAGGCCGGTCTACGCAGAAATCCCCAGCAAGTGGTGGAGGTACAGATGAATGTTGTGAGCAGCAGCTCCTCGCCATCTGGTGCTGCAGCTAGTAGCACGTCGGTAGTTCAAGACAGCCCAAAGGCGGGCAGCTGGAATAGGACCACCGGCCCACCACAGAAAAACGTAGTTTCCGCCCGTTTGTTTACGGCCAAAAACATAGTGCGGCCACAGATGCTATTCAAGGAACCCGTGGACAACAGTGCCCTGAATCCATTTGTCCCAAGACTTAAAGAAAAGCCCAACGCTCTAAAGCCATTTTTCCTGCTGCCAGAATTTGACGAGTCCGGCAATATCCAGGCCTATTTGCATCCATACGAGTATGAGTTGCTGAAGTTTGATCCTCCTGTGCAGCAGCTCCAGAAACAGAAGCCAATTCTGCCCAATCTGATGTCTGATACCGAACTCATGCTAGTAGACACTGTTGAAAAGCTGAAACAAGCTTTAGAAGAACTGAAACAAGCACCTCAAATTGCCATTGACGTGGAACACCATTCTTATCGCACCTTTATGGGAATTACATGCCTTGTGCAGATGTCCACGCGCTCGAAGGACTACATTTTTGACACCCTTACCCTGCGAGACGACATGCATATATTGAATGTTGTACTTACAGACCCCAAAAAGCTAAAGATTCTTCACGGAGCTGACTTGGATATTGAGTGGCTGCAGCGCGACTTATCTTTGTATATAGTGAATATGTTCGATACTCATCGCGCAGCCAAGGCCTTGAACTTGGCCAGGCTCTCGCTGGCGTTTCTGCTAAAGCACTACCTTGACTTGGACGTGGACAAGAGCCTGCAGCTGGCGGATTGGCGCATGAGACCGTTGCCACAGCAACTGGTGGACTATGCCCGTCAGGATACACACTTTTTAATATATGTGTACGAAAGGATGACCAACGATCTGCTTGAGCAACAGGCTGAGCCCGGGCTCCTGAACAACGTCTACCTTATGAGTACAGAGGTGTGCAAAAAGCGGTACAATAAGCCACATGTTGGACCGGAATCCCACTTGGATCTAGTGCGAAAAACCAAAAGAAATTTCGACAATCGCCAGCTTCATGCCCTGAGGGGCATATTTGAGTGGCGCGATGCCACTGCTCGGTTGGAGGACGAAAGCTACGGATACGTTCTGCCCAATCACATGATGCTGCAGATCGCCGAGAGTCTTCCAAGGGAGATGCAGGGAATCCTAGCCTGTTGCAACCCAATCCCACCCCTGGTGCGGCAACAGCTCCACACGCTGCATCAAATCGTCCTCAAGGCGCGCGATCAGCCGCTGGTCAAAGTGAGTTTCCCACCGACGGCGCCCAGTTCCTGCAACTTGTTCACCGTCGCTGGCTATTCAGATATTTTTTCATTAATTAATTGTAACTAATTTTAAATTAAGAGGTCTCCTCCAAGTTTATTGCATGGTTTAATTTATTTCATACCTGGGCTTGCACACTCTTTCATAAACGAATTGTTTTCTCCTTACTATTTCAGCCCATTTTGGAAGCCCGCAGCAGCACTCAAGCATCTCTGCCGCCCTCGTCCAAGGACTTCAGCAGCAAGCTCTACTGTCCGCACGACTTTTCGCATCAGGATGAAGTTCGCGATGACCTTCCCACGTTGCTAAAACGAAATACATCTGGAAGGCTTCAGCTTCCAAATGAGGCGCAGCCACCAAGCCAGGATGAATTAATTGCTGTTCCCTCAATGGTATTGTTCAAAAAGTCTGATGTTCCAACCCAGGAGGAAGAGCTGCGATGGGCTCATACCCGCAAAGAAAGTCAGGCCCTGCGAATGCCTTACAAGCGCTATTTGGCGATCCTTCCACTAATGGAGCAGTTGAAGCAAGACCAAATAGCCCGGGAGCATAGTGAACAGCTGAAGCGACGCTTGTGCCCAACTGCGTCAGCTCCAGAGGAAAATATCAAACTGCAGGCGCCGGCGACAAAGCCAGAAGCTCATTTGTACTCTCTCCCACTAAAAGAACAACTGAAGCGCAAGCACCAAACTAGTGTGGACGGGGAACAGCCCAGCACAAGCAAGAAAGCGAAAAAGGATGAAAACACCCAACCCACAGTCAAGAAAGAAGCTACCGAAAAGACCGAGTCTATTGAGGTAGTTGAGCAAATCGAGGAAAGCGACGAAGACGCCGTTATGGAAGTGCCCATTGAAAGACAACCCGCCGACCAAGCACAACCCCCACAAAACCAGGGAAAACGACAGAAGCGTAAGCAGTTCCAGCAGCGTTTCAAGGCCAAGAATCGGGCCAACCACCCGCAGGGCTCCAATCTGCAAGTTCCGCAGCCCAAGCCGGTCCAAGCCGGTAACTTTGACTACAAGAACGTGGACTTCCGGCAATTCAAGGGCGGAGCGCAGAGGGCACGCGGCACAGAAATCAAGCAGCAAATGCATGGCAAGGTGCGTCTACTTCTCCAAAAGGGGTTACGTCTAATCAGTATTTTCAAGTAATCGAATTACTGTTTTGTAATTTTTTTAAACCTTGTAAAGATTCTCTACAAATTCTAGTCAATCGAATAAATAGTTTTAAAAGTGAATAATTCAAGTAACATGCAAGATAAAGTAGTGACTCTATTATAATATTACTTTTATTGGTTTAAGGCATTCGAAACCTGTTTCCATTGATATTAACGTGAAAACTTGTGTCTTTTCCAGAACCGACCCAACAATCGCCACAACAAACAGTTCAACAAGCTATTCACTTTTAGCAATGTGAAAAAAGAAGGCAAAAAATAACCACACACTTACTCCCCAATACACATCGAATTGTGTATTCCAACCCGAAACCAATCATACAAAATTAGAAAGTTTATTTTTGACTGTTTATATTCTCGTGAGATAAGTGAAAAAATATAGTTGTGAAGTTTAAAATTTTCTAAAATTGTACCTATTAAATAACGACGATACCTATTCTTAAAACTAAACTTTTGTATATTTTCTTTAAGGTTCTCTTTACATTTTCATAAGGTATGGTGTCGAGCTCTGTTCAAAAATGTAATCTAAACATACATATGTAAATAACTAATACATAATATATTAGAATCTTTTGGAAAATATCGAAGATATGCGAGTTTAAAATTTGAAAATGGCAAAGTTTTTGTTTTTTTGCTTAATTTTTCGTCACTTTTTAGTCTTTTAAGACAAAAACGCAACGTTTTCGACATTATGTATTTTAAAATTTCTCTATAATTATTGGATACGTTCCTATCTACAATTATTTCGTTTTGTGGGACGTGAGTGCAGAAAGGCCTGGGCTTAACAAAGGCTTGGACTTCCAGATGCCTAGAGAGTTTTAAACATTTTCTCTCCCTCGAGGTCCATACAGTGCTCTACCACGGAATAAACCACCAAAAGCCTCCTTTCCACGCCCTTTTTGTGTTTATCAGTGATAAGTGGGTAAAGGATATCTTGCTTGGATAATCGGTCCACCAGTTCGGTTAGGACACCTCCGGAAAACACTTGCAGGCGATCCCAAGTGGACTTTCGTAAGCTAAAATATTAGATCATATATTATGTTTATCTGGTAAGATCTCAGTATTACTTACAGGCAACACTGATACAGAGGAGCCAGTATATCCAAGTGGTCCTTATTGGGATTTCCAAAGGCTTTTCCATTATCGATTAGAACGACGCGCTCCTCCCTTGTTTCGTAGTGATGCCGATCTCCATTCTGAATCAGGTAGTCGAAGATGGCAACATCGATAAGGTCCAGCAACCGAATAGTTTCCATTTTATTCTTCAGAGACCTTCAATAAGAAATATCGGTTAGAAGAGGGACTTCTACCTCTAAGAGCTTCCACTTACTTGCAGTAGTTCATGTCATCCTCCCAAGGAGCTCGCTTATCGTCCTTGTAGGTGCGCTGCCAGGGGGACCGTCGCTTCGCCAGAGTTCCCGGCACAATGTAGATGAGCACGCCCTCGATGTTATGCCTTTCATCTCCGCAAACACTTTCTTCCTCGTTGCAGTAGTGGCACTTTCCGTACAAGCAGTAGGTCTCCTTGCCATCCTCATCCTTCTCTATGTTTATCGTGTTCTGCAACTCCTGATCCCCGTTTTCATAGATCTCCTTCTTCAAGTTCACCACCCGGCCCACCACGATAGGCGTCCATCGGAGGTCTAGGACGGCTCCCAAATAAAAGGCATATACTTCCGCCGTGTGTCGATCTTTCCCGCTGTACACCGTTCCCTCCACTACCTCGTCTCTCGGATACCACTGTGGCTTGAAGATCACCTTCTGCTGCTGCGACAGGCGCATCAGTAGCTTCAATTGGGTCCCGCGTGCGAGGTTGCTCACCCTCGTGATTGGTTCACGACGCAGGGTCTCTAGGAGTTGGCCCATCGATGAATCGTATAGCGGGTACACTTCATTTTCGTGTGGCCACTGAAAGGGTTACATATTTTTATAACCAAACTGGTATTATGGTTGAAATTCTAATCAGACCCAACTGAGAAATTATGTAAATAGCTACTTGGTGATAAGATATTCTTCATCTCCCCCCAGCCCCGTTGACTCACCCAATTGGCAATGTCCCAGAGCACGCTGGCATTCTCGTATGGCGCCGCCTTATAGTTTTTCAGGAGCTTATTCCGGAACATAAAGAAGCGCGGATTCCGGTTGAGGTAGGCGGGTTTCAGATGGCGCATCTTGTGCCTGATCTTGTTTTCCAGCGCCCGTACACTGGCCAAATGCCCCTCCTCGGCGCTGAGGTAGTACATGAAGTAGAAGTTGGCGCCCAAAACCAAGCCCAGGAGGCTGGCCACGATTCCCGCTATGATTACGCTGCGCTTGTTCATCCTGCCGCCTGGGTGCTAGCCTATTTTTAATATTACGTATACGCAACGGCGGCTGCAGCTCTGGCAAAATGCTTAATTCTACCAAAAATCTTGTTGATATGGCCGGGCTGCCGCAGAGGCATGCTGCTATGGTTGTTTCTTTTTTTTTTTGCGGTTGCACTTGCAATTGTTGCTGCTGCCGATCGTGTAATTGTTGCTGTACCTGCGGTTTCTGTTGCTGTTGCCTGTTTTTTTTCTTGGCAGACATCGGCCGACAACTGTTCGCATCAGTCCATTGTTGTGCAAATTAATTGTGTTAGTATCTAGAAGAGTGTTCACATTAATTAATTTGTCACTACTGGGGTAAAAGTCCTTATACTTAGGATATGATATGGATATGGATATGACACTCAAACCTCTGTTTCTATCTTCTATTGTTTTATGAAATACATTTCTTTAAAAAATGAAATGTTTATTAATAGTGATATAGTTTTTATATTTGATTGATTAGGGTATAATATTTTCGTCTAGCAGACAGAGAAAATATTTCTTGACCTCAGAAAGGTTATGAATGCTTAATCAGAACTATCTTATTCTAAGTAGGATATAAACTTAAAGATTAAAACCTACTATATACAGAAATGTATATGAACAGTTCCTAATAGTTTCATTAAAGTCTATAAATATTAATTATATTATGCCTATTTACTGTCAACAAATTAGCAACTTAAATATATGATTTTTATAAGGTCCTGACCCTGGCACAACAATGTATCACATACCGCAGATCGTATCCAATGTTTACATACGAAAAGTGACCCCTTTCGGATTCTTGGCTCATCACTACCCAATAAATCTTGCACTAGCTTCCTTAAACTAATTGGACGCCGCCTTGCTTTTGGCCACCTTTCACATCCACACGCATTCGAAAACAGGAAATTTTTGTGGCGTTCGATTAAAACAAAGCACTTTACTTAGATCGCCGCACTCAGATCGCCCTCTCATTTGCTGATTCCCATTTATAAATAGCTTTTTGTTTATGTCGGAGAAAATGGGGAAAACGTGCGTTGCGCGAGGCCGGCACAGGTGAAAATCATGGGGGAAAATAAAAGCCACAACAGAAGAAGCAGAGCGAGCAAAACAAAAATCAGCTGATCTAAAAATTTGTAGCCCTGGTTAGAAGTTATATCGAGACAGTCTGGCATCTCTCATTTAAGCTTCAAATTTTGCCGTTATGAAAATAAATGTATAATGCAAAAATAAAAATAAAATAAATTAACATTTGTTATAAGTTATAAAGTATATGCTGGCCACGTGCCAGTGTGCTTGAGCACACAGCTCACCTGAAAAGGTCAAGAGGTAAATTCACAAAGGAGTTTCTTGCAAACTGCTTATTTTGGTAAGTGCTCATCCGCAGTAAAAACACTTACCAGGTGAGAAAGTAATTTACATACAGAAAATAAATTAATTTAAAAATCGTTAAAAAGGTTAAATTTCAATCTTAGGTTTTAAATAATTAAAATAACCAATATTGAAGAGTATTTTACAAGTGGAAGGAATTATTTTATAAACAAAAATAAAGTGCTCATGGGGTTTCTTCTAAAGATTAGAGAGATTATATTAAGAATATTTATTCAAGATAATTTAAATATATATTAAACTTATTTTTAACTCTGTAGATTTTCCTGGTGTTAGCCACCTTTTTTTAGATGGAGTAAGGTTAGGAGGGTTGAACCTTGCTTTGAGGGGTCCCAGTGGAGCAGAGCACATAAACTGCGCCCACTCTTTTTTTCGGGAAGGAAACTGGAGAGTAAGGAGAGGTGGAGGAGGAGCCGTCCTGGCCACATATGGCGCAAAATAAACCGACAAATGATAACGGCACTCGAGCAAACAACAATAAAGGACGAAAAGCACGAAAATTGAGTAAATGAAAGAAATAATGGTGTTGGGAATGTACAACAAGTAACCAAACGCACGAAAACACTTCCTACCTTACCCTTTTTTTCTTACGCCAGAAACGAACAATGCCACCCAATTCTCACACGCTTCGATTCAAATGCCGATGGCATCCTCCGCCAAAATTTGTTGCTGGCTGGGGAAATTCGAGGGCAGTTTGTGGGGCAAAAAGTGAACCCTCGGTGTCGACGCATTACGATTACCGTTAAATGTCACCCATAGACTTGTCTACTAAAAGGGAGTCTTAAGTACTAAACGATTTGAATAGTATTTGTTTAAGCCTTTAGTTTAAGCCAAAGAATAATTCTGTCAAAGATTATTCTATCAAAAATAATTAATTATTTTAATGTAAATGTCTTTCATGTAATGGCTTCTAAGACAATTATCCAAGTGCTTCACATCTGAATATCGCACACATTTCCAATTAATATCAATTAGTAAAAAAAATTCCTGACACCAAAGGCTTTTGGAAGAAGCGAATAAACAATTCCGAACAATTCAATTAGGGCACCAATTGTAAAAAGCCAAAGAAAGTACATACAGTATTTGGTAATTGGGTCAGATGCGGCTAACGAGCAACGACAATTAACAGGCAACAGCCCAAAGCCGACGGTAAACACGAAGAAATCAATTCGGATTCGAATGGCAGGAAGGGAAGATTTGTACTTTGCCCAAACTTCGTCGTTTTTTCTTTATTAGCATAAAATCTGCTTAAACATAATTTAATTTTGATTGTGTTTGGTGAGACCATTTACACTTTAACCGGCACACAACATGAGGCTGACACAAAAAAAAAATCAATTAATTCATACACCAACGCAGATGGGGAAGGCACATCCTCGGTGTTAATTGCTGATGTATCCCCTCCACGCCACGAATACTGGTTCCGTGAGCTGTTTTTGTTTGTCTCCACTCGCGCTGGCGCTTTCCTTAATGGCCGCCGCTCTTATCTGGCCTCTCATGCGTTTTGTAATTAATTGGCAGACATTTTACTGCCGTGGAACGTTGTCATAGGTCGCTCAGCACGTGCTGTACTGGGCTGTACTTCGGGAGTGGCGGCAGGGGGCTTGGGTTCGACCTAATGATTAATTACAATTTAATTTGTTTGGCATTTAGCAGCTCTCTTAACGGTAGACCAGGAGGCCAGGACGATGACAAAATGCCGCCAGAGCTCCCATGACTCAGTTTAAATTTTCAGCATTTGTTTGGCAATCTTTCCTCGTAATAAATATCGCTCAGGTTTAAATTTATTTCGTTTGCTTGCCAAAACCTAATTGAATTTATTCCACAATACCGGGGGGGATCCATCTAATTAATTGTTTTTTTGCTTTCCTTCTTTGTTTTGATTCGTTTTCATATTCATTTCGGTTTTTTGTGTTTTTGTTTGTTTGCTTGGCTGCTAAAAATATGCAAATTTGGGCTTATGAATCTGCCTAATGAGTCGGCCTAGGAATTATGGGTACAGAAATTCATTGTAAACAGAAGCGAAGATGGTTCTTGTTGGCTTCATTTTAGATTAAAAAAAAGTTACAAAAATTAGAGAGATAAACTAATTTTCAAGTTTCTGTTTAAAGAATCCTAAAGTATCTATTTTTCCATTGGTAAGCTTTAAGAAACTTTAAGGCTGGGATGTCAACGCATTACATTTTTATGCCCATTTCTTTTTTCCGCTGGTGCAACAAAAGGACATGAAAAATGAGCCTCAATTTGGGCGCCCAACATGAAATTAACTCATTCGTTGTGGCCTAGAATAACAAAAGACACTCTTACACACACATAGCTATACAAACGCTCACATAAATAGACGGTACTGAGGTCAAGCAACGTCATTTTTCAGACGGCCAAACAAAAAAAGGGAATACCAAGAAAAAAGTCGGCTTCAAGTGCCGCCACACACAGAGAATTTACTGTGAGATTGTGAGCGTGATGTATGTGAGCTAAAACACATGCTCGCCAGGAAGAAAATATAAACAAACGCCCACGAAGGCAGCGCTGTAGCGTAAAAGCTTCGCTCTGCCCCAAAAACTATGCCACACACAAAGCTCTGTGCGTAAAGCTGAGGCGCAACAGTTTCAGGAGAGCGCATTGCAAAGAGATAAAGGCAAGGGCAGCACGGCAACACTCCTCGGGTCGCTCTCTTCCTCGCAACTGAGCAACAGTTAAAATTCCTCTCTCACCCTTCGCGGTCCCCGGACAAAGTTTTTGTTGCCACTGCTGCTACTGGTGCTTCACCTGCGGAATATGAGTGAATGGAGCAGGGAATACACTGTTAAAGGATATTTTTACCTTAATTAACAAATTTCAGTTTTATTTCAGAGGGTAAAAGTGGGAAAAGAATGGAAATGAAAATTGCAATAAGTTCAACGGGGCGTATGAGCAACCTGATGTTTTATAAATCAAGTATACGACATGTTGTCCCATGTATTCCAAATTGTGCGAGATATCTTCTTCCGCAGTAAATGTTGATCAAAATTTAAAAAATTGGAATTAAACAAGAATTTAGTTAATAATGTTAGATTACAAATATAATTCCCCGTGCAGACAAGCAGAGCAGCACTGGATTCAGCTTTACTGTATGTGTGTATATCGGTGAGCGAGTTTGGGGCAGCCCAGGACCTACTGCTGCTGGCGTTTTTAGTGCCTGGATTGCTGTTGGCGCGTTCACAACGCGCGAGCTCGCGTTTTCTTTCTCGGTTTCGGTTCGAGTAACGCAAGAGGGCAACGTTTTTTTATGAGTGAACCCCATTTGTTCGGATTTTGGTAGTTTTTTTGTTTTCTTCAAGCATCCACGTGCGGTCATTACAAGTGTCTCGGAATGCAAATAAACGAGATTTCATAGGGCAGGATGTGCCCTACGGAATGCATCTTTTATGGTTGCCATTAAACCTGTTAACTGGTATGTCGCCGAGAGTCGTATAAAACATATAAAGCTGGCTAATTGCCTGGACATTTTACTGCCCATCTAGTGGGTGTGGATATTTCATTATACTGGACTGCGCTCTACTTCAGACACTGGATCTTCTGGAATCTAGATCATATTTCAGCTATTTCTGTCTTGCACATTTTTTCGATTTTCCGAGCTGCCGAGCAATCTGCAATCTTTAGGTGGTACTGGAGCATCATGGGTATTTGTAGGAACGCATCCTTTAAGGTGTTTTGTGTCGGTTATCTGTTTGGCTTTCATCTTCAATTTCCGCTGCGCATTCGCGCGTATTCGCTGCCATTTGTACCCGTTTCTGGTGTCGTTGCCGTTGTCCTGGCGCATGAAACACCAAGAAAATTACAACTTATTGAGTTGCAAAGCGCGCTGGAACTCGCACACAAACCAACATACATTGAAGCACGAGGACAGACGTTAACCCAAGCAGACACACTGTGCCCCCGGGAGTGTGCTATGCTTTTCTCCCAGCTTCCAAATGGGGGATGGTCAGGCTATTATTACAAAAAATAAATAAAAATTATTTGATAACTTTACAACAAATATAATAAGTCTTGTCGAAGCTTTTATTGTTGAAGCATCAGATGTGTTTTAGTCAGTTTCCGTGGACAAAATTTTGTTTTCCATGTAATCAGTATGTTGCCCCATGGAAGGACTTCCTTCTATAATTTGTTCAGTGTAGTTCTCCCATTTGCATGCTTTGTGCGAAAAACCATCTGCACCTATCTTGTGCCCCTGGACAGGCGCTACTTCAATTCATCTGTTCGCATTTTACGACCCACCCGCAGCAAAAAAACCACATTACCCGCTGCAAACACCACCCCCTCATTCCCACCCGGCCAATCACAGTGGGTCAACAGACAGCAGACAGATGTAGTTGAAGTTGAACGAAAAACCGCAGTCGTTGCCGCCAACACGTGCATACATTCATGTGGCTGTGCCAGTGTGTGTGTGTTAAAGGTCCTTGGTCTCTGCTTACAGGGATTCGCTAAAAGAGAGGGAGGCGAAGTCGGGTGCTGGTGTGCACCTGTGGCGTAGCCAGACTTGTTGATCATTATGTCCTGTAATTTTACAAGTAATTCCATAGCGCTATACCTTATATTCGAGATAATGTCCGCCGCTTATCGATTTACCATTCGACTGGGAGCGGCATAGGAAACTCAAAATGGAATATTTAATGGAATACCTGGGGGATTATAAAGGTTATGGAGAGTCCTTATCATACTTGAAATTCTTATGATGGCGATGACAATAAATTCCAGCCATCATTGAGGTCGTTAAACCTGCCTGAGGTGGATTCCGCATAGAACATGTCTTTTGGGGATAGAACATTTTTTAATATTACCTAAAATTGAAAATAAGAAGAGTGTTTATTTTTTTTGTATAGATAAATGGTTGTGGTTGATAAACAAAATTTACATTTATTAAAGGTTATAATAAATAATAATTAATTGTTTAGGAATAGGCTTTTCTGTTATTTTTCATTGTATGCTAATTTTCATGTGACCACTGCCATATTAGAGCTAATGCTACATACTACTATTTTACATCCTGTAAACTGCGAAATCTACTACGCTTTTTACAGCTGCTGCTACTTCTTGCAACACGTTGCCATTAATACATACTTCCCTTGACACTTGTGAGCCAATAAACTTGAAAAAAGAGCAACAGTTGCCGTGCACAAACAGAGCTGCCCGAACTCACTGCGAATTAGTGTATGCTTGTGTGTGTTTTAGCCGAAGTGAAGCCGATTTTCCCGAGTCGGAAGATTGTGCGAGTCCTGGCCGCTGGCAGCAAGGCAGCCTGGCAGGACGCTCATAACGCAGATGTCCTTTGCCGTGGCCGCTTCGATAGCTCGGTCGGTATAATATCTCGAAATCGGTTTTCGAAACTCGGTCCGTCGGTACATTGGCTCTCAAAATAATTCATTCGCTCGGTACGCCGGCATTTCACGTCTCAGAGGACCTGCTCCTTGGGTGCTTGCGGCCAACGAGGCGAATGCTTAATATACGCACGCACGGCTGATATGTTAATTCCGTCTTTGGCATCACTTAGGAAACAATTAGCGCGTTAGTTTCGGGCAACGCCACGCGGTGTCGGAGGAGGCAAGTGAAAAGTTTTAATTGTCTGCCCATTTTCATTGGAAAAGTTGTTGCCTGCTGCCTTCACTCACTTAACATTCATGTGGCTTTATGTATAATTTTGAGTTCGCGGATCCACCGTCCCAGAAAAACCCATAACCGTAATCACTTCTTGCCTTTTTGTCCCTGGCATTTGTAATTATGCTATGCCGGAATCCTTTTCATTCAAATCATACATATTTATGCGTTTGTTCGGTGCCTGTTTGTTTGCCTGTTCAGATTAAAATCGTCTGATGAGTTGCAGATGCTGTAGGCGAGCCCAAGTTATTTTTTCCCGGGTCAGTCTTGCGGCAAACGGTTCGTATTGTGCCGCAGACAGTTTCTCTTTTATTCGTATTATTTTTCGTTTATGTTTATTTACATTTTTCCACACTGGGCGAACTGCAGTAAAAAAATATTTTCCAATTGAAGAACCGCCAACTCCATACAACCGCTTTTAACTATTTGTATATTTTAATAAGCTTTGTTTTTTAATCCATTTGAAACCTCCAAAGTCGCAGGGAAAACAAATTCCTTGTTTAACCCGAAAAAAGGACGGCAAAGTGAAATGTGTTATCCTTGTAATGTGAAATCTCTGTAAGATTGTCCCAAATTCTTGTGAGTTGAGAAAGTCATCAGCTGTTGTAGCCTTTTAAATTTGTATTTCAACATCTGTGCCATTGGTTCTGTGTATGTTCCATGAATTATTCAGTTGATTTGATTTCTTTCTTCGTTGGCCCCAGCCAGGCTCTTTGGTCATACTTCTTGGAAGTCCCTTCGGGATTCCCACACTAATTAGAAAATTATATAATTTGTATTTGCTGGCGAGCTCTTAAAGAATTTCTTTGTTTCGTTGAAAAGTAAACCTTCGCCTAGCGACTTTCTGTGAAATATTTTTATAGATTTTTATGATTTATTTGAAGGATAAGAAGCATTTCGTTTATCTTCCATAAATTTTATGAAAGCAATATTACGTGTTATTTGCACAAACAGTGCTCTTTGTTGTGAGATTTTGAAGACATGGACTTTTGTCATCGTCATCCTTATAATGAAATTGATGTTCGAGATATATGTATATTCATCTGGACTCGACAGTTTATTCACTGAAGCTTAAACAGGGAATTTAAATTAATTAGCAATTGGAAAGGAGAATTATCTTTGCGAAGGTAATAAAACGCAAACATTGAAATTAGATTTCGAGAAACAAAGACACACAAAGTTTGCCTGGGGAAAATCAAAATTGACGAGATACGGCTGCCTTTGCTGGCATCTGGCTGATTTATTTTAATTACAATTTGCACTTAGTACTGATGATTAATCTTTTCGCTCCAACACGCCCATGCAAAACAGCCTGGGCTGGGCCCCGAAAATTTGTAGGACAGCCTACTCTTATGTGAAGAGTTCATTTGCAGCATAATCGATTTTCACATTAATTAAGCTCTAATTACTGTAGCCCAGAGACGGCCTTATAAATGAAGTCACACTAGACAAACGAACGAATTGGGTAGAATTTGCTTGGCATCGTAGCATTCCCAGAAGAAACCTTGAATTCACATTTCATGGCAAAGGAACTCGGTTTTATTAATTCTCACCTGGGTGGCCTTAGCCTACCCAAAGAACTCCCTCTGCGGTTGCTTTATGTAGCTCCTCCTTTGGCAGCATGAAATGAAGCCGTATATACCAGGAGGATACCAGGAGCCAACCGCATTCCCCAGAGAAAATGAGCGGAATGAGGCGCCGCCAGTGAGCTGGAAAAGTTGACAGACTCCTCCAGCCAGCCATTTGATGGGCTACTATAAACTCAAAAATATTTCTCTTGGCCAAATTCCATTTGCAAATCTATTTTAGTGTTAATTACACGTGCAACATAAACTGCAAAGCGAGAACTTTTACGGTCATGCCAAAGTAAAACTAAAAGTTTAAAAATAAACTACGGAGCCGGTTTACAGCCGGGTGTTCTGTTGTGAATAAAAAGAGTATTAAATTAGATTAAAATGGAAACTTTTGCCGGTGGTTTGTTGGTATTTAAGCTGAAAACTCTGTCCACAGGCTAAAAATAATGAAATGTATTGTATATGTTACAAATTGGGTTATCTCTTTGCACATGCAATGACGCCCGACAACGCTCGATTATTAAAAACAATTTTTGTTTCATGTAGCTCTTTTTCATTTCTTTAATTTCCGGCTTTTGGAATATTAATATGCTTTTACGAATATCCGCGAGGAAGACGCCTAAATCAAAGGAATGGCTCTCAGAGTTTTTAAATTTATGCCCAGCAGCCAACAGCACCAGCTAGACTTTGTCGTGCATTAAGCGGCAAACATCGCGTATACGCAGCGTTGAGCTGGCAGGAATGCAAATGAAACCGCCGCTCTCATCGAGATTCTGTCCGCAAAACAAACACTTTTTTTGCGAAGCCGCACCAAGTCAACTTTGTTTGTTTGCGTTTGTTGTGGCTGCTGCTATTTCGCCCCTTTGCTTTATTTGTGTAATATAATATGTATAAAAGAAAAATGTGTGCTCGCTTTGACATGAAATAATCAAATTGTCACAATGTCGCCCGGCTTAACGTGACATTTTTCACATGTCGGAAAAGAGGATAAAAAACCGGATCGGTTTGGGTTGCATTAAATTTTTAACAATTTTTGCATTTCGCATTTTTTTGAACTTTTGCGGCAACGCATTCCGCTTGGGTACCTAAATATTTTAGTGGTTGTAGTATGCCCTCTTTTATGTAATTGATTTTTGGCTTTGGTATTCAGCAAATTATTGTCAACGGCAGTGCTGGGGGGGCTATTCAAATTTTAGAGTGACAAAACAGTGGCCCAATCAATTGG